AGGCTAGATGATCTGTTCAGGTCCCTCCTGACCCTAGCTACTATGAAACTATGAAACTACTGTAAGAGTGAGGGGCACCAGCAGGGCTAGGGGGGCAGGGGCTGTGGATTGGGAGTAAGGGGCACCCATGAGGTCTCTGCCCCACCGCTGAGGTGGGGCAGAGACGTGGTAGGCTCTGTGCCCACACTGTACCCCCGACCCTCTCTCTGCAGTGGGGGGGCAGACGGCCGTGCTGCTGTGGGCAGGATGCAAGTCTGATCATCACATCGACCTGCAGAGCCGCGGCTACGGGATGTTGCCTTTCGTCTCCTCCGGGGTCCACGTCTGCATTTCTGACCTGTGCAATGATCAGTTCCTCAACAGCAGCCTCCCCCTCAATGTCCCCCCAGGTACCACTGCTGCCTCGGGGGCACCGAGCTGGGGTGGGGGCAGGGGCTTTCCCTTGCCCATGTGGCCCTAACTGGCCTTGAACTGGGGTCCAGGCTGGGTCGGGGAGGGTGTTTCCCCACCAGGGGGTGCTGGATCCGGGTCCCAACCTAAGCCCGTCGGGGGATGGGGCAAGGTTCAGGCCTGGCCCAGGTGAGAGCCCCCCCAATACTGGTCCATGGACCCCAGCCCACAGGGCCAAGGCTCCAACCCCCAGTCCCCACAGTCCAGGTCAGAGAGAGAACCAACAAGGCATCTGGACTCTGCTGGCTGGTGGGGGACAGGGGCCCCCTCCATCCCTGTCCGGGGGGGCGGGCATTGCTCACTCAGCCCCTGTGTCCCTTACAGAGGCCGCTGCTAATGCCACTGATGTCCTGCGGTGCTACAGCTGTCTAGGCCTGACCCCCGAGAGCTGCTCGGGGGAGAACATGGATGTGGTCCCGTGCCCCCCAAATTTCCCCCGGTGTGCCATCGGGATGGCCAGCGCCACCATCGGTATGGAGCCCTGCAGCCGGCAGCCAGGATGGCTGGGGTCATAGGGGTTAGGGAGAGTGAGCATTTTAATGTGGGGAGCAAGGGAGAGTGGGTGGAAAGTGTGGGGGGCTGGGGTGGGTGCGGGGTACATGGGAGGTGTTGGGATGGATGGACTGACCATTGGATGGATGGACAGACAGATGCATGGGTCTGTATAGGGATGGAGGGGTGGTAGGTGATGGGCTGGGCGAGGGATGTTGAGATGGTCGGATGGGTGAGTTGGGTGGATGGATGGATGGATGGAGAGGCGGATGGGTGAGTGGGTGCATGGATGGATGGGTGGAGAGGCAGATGGGTGAGTGGGTGCATGGATGGATGGGTGGAGAGGTGGATGGGTAGACCCCCGCTTACCGCTGCCGCACTCCCGCCACCTCTCTCTTGCCACTGCCATGCCACCTTAGCCACCAGGGGCACGCGCCATTCATGCACTCCACCCTCACCCGTCTTCCCTCCCAGCTCACCCCCATGCCATGCTACTCCAAGCCCTGCAGAGGACAGCTACCCCAGGGCTTCCCAGCCCACATGGCTGCTTCACCTGAAGGGCTGATACCATAGCTCCGCCGCCACTTTCACTGTGCCCACGCCCAGCCTTGCAGGTCTTATCCCTTGTGTCGACCATCAGCCCCTTCCCAGCCTCAGTCTGTGATGGGCCTCCCTGCCTGGGTGCTTTCCCAGCTAGGCTACACCTGGGGGGCCTTCCGGGTGGGCGTCTCCACCTGGGCACTTCACATCTCATGGCTACTCCCGAGCGCAGCACCTCAGCTTGCACCACCCACCCACGCACCTTGCCTTCACGGGCTCTCCCAGGTACCGCGTCCTGTCCTCTCCAGCTCCTATCTGTGCGCCTGGACTTTGGGCCCTTGGTCCTCATCTCTGGGCCCTTTCCCCTGCCTATGCCCCTCTCTGAGCTATGGACCCCTGGCTCCGATTTCTGGCCGGCTCCAAAAGTGACAGGAGCACATTAAGCACCTTGTCACAGTGTGGGTTGTTGAGCCAGGTGCATGGAGGGAAGTTATAGCTCTATGGTCAGTCAGTTGGAGGTCTGGGTGGGTGCGTGTCTGGTAGAAAGAAGGATGGATGGGTGGGCGGGCAGGCAGGCATTGGGGCTGACCAGCCAATGGATGAGTGTTGGGGATGACCTGGGGGTGCATAAGGGAAGGATGGATGGCCTTGCCAATGGGGAGTTTGGAGGCTGGGTGGGTGGGTGTGGTGGGGGTAGATGGACACAAACCTGCTGACAGTTCCTGCCCCGTCTCCGCTCTCTCTGCTCCCAGACGTGAACTACACAGCCTCCTTCTTCTACCGCTCCTGCCAGGACAGCAGCAGCGTTCGGAGTAGTAGCAGCATCCGGACCGCATCCAACACCACCCAGGAGACCATCACCTGCACTGTCACAGCTGGCTGCCGCAAGAGCCTCTGCAATGACGGGCCCCATGAGCTCCCCACCCCACCGCCCACAGCCCCACACCCCAGCCTAGGGGACTGGCACCCCGAGGGGGCCTAGGCCACCTGGGGCAGGGGGTCCCAATGCCCCCCGGGTGAGGAGTGCGGAAGAATTCCATCCCAGTCTCTTCCCAGTCTTTGCTATTAGTTTTTTTTTCCCCCTTTGTCATTGTCTCCTCACCTATCTGTCAATAGTTGCCCCAGGTTATGGCTATGTGACCTCAAGCAGGTACAGGGGATGGTGAACCCAGTCTCTATTGTTGTAAGCACTGACCTCGTGGCATGGGGGCAGGGGCTTGAGCCATGTCACACCCTTAGGTGACCATGATGCTTTTTATATTGGTTGGTTAGCATCAAACAACACCTACCTTTTATTGGGTCTTGAAGATGAGGTTAAAAAAGCTATTTAAGGGTCTTTCCATCTTGGGGGAAGAAGAGAGGCATCTTGAAACTCAGAGACACAATGCACTGCCTGTGTCCAGAGGAAACTCAATCAGCCTCTGAATGATCCTTGTGAGTAACTTACCTGAAACTTATCTAGAAATATAGCTTACTATAATGTAGAAGCATAACAGAGAGCTACCAAGCTGTACTGTTTGCTCTGGGTTCTTTGACACTTCTATAACCTGTACCCTTCCCAAGCCTATCCTCTTTAACCAATAAAGCTCTCTACTATAACAAGCTCGGTGGTACTTGTTGGAAGGGGGATTGGGCATGTCTTTATGCTCCCTATGATTGATTGACTAAGGGAGGCTACTTTCTTTGCTTCAGGATTAAGGAAGCACCCCAAGTTCTCACAGTGGGTCAAGCACCCTCAAGGTCTATAAGGCCTGTGTACCCCAGGGGGCACAGGGCCCGAATACAGACCAGACCCCTGGGTGGTGGCATCGGTTACCCCAGGCTTGCAGGTGTGCTCCAGGAAGGGGGTCAGCCAGATGCGAGGCGCCCCAGGGGAGGCACTCGCAGTTTGTATTTTGGTAGGGCACTGTAAGGCAGGTGGCTCAGCACAGGAGCACCCCTTACTGGCCCGCCACAAGGAGGCCCCGTTCGACACAGCCCATAATGACCCACCCCAGAGCTAGCTGCATCCCAGGGTCCTGTGATACCAGCCCTGACACCCACCCCAGAGCCAGCCACATCTCTGCACCAGCCTGGGCCTCTGGCCTCGTCTTCTGCCCCTTGTTCATTAAAATGGATTTCCCTTGCAAGGCTGCACCTGCTTTGTACCAGTGACAGAGCATCCCCCACCCCAGTGATGGTTGCATCTTGGTGCCAGACACGGGGGCTAATGGTTGGAGCCCAGAGGGCTGCAGGTCATATGTGAAAGGCCCTGGCAGGGGCAGGGGGCTGTCAGTTCGGAGGGAGGGTTCCTGGGGGAGCTGGCTGTGAGAAAGGGGCACAGGCAGGGCTCTGGGGTCACCAGCTGGTCCTGGGTCAGGAATGAGGGGCACTGGCAGGACTGGAGGGCAGGCGCAGGGGGCTGTGGGTCAGGAATGGAGGGCACCGCACCCCCTCCTCCCCATATGGGTTGGAAGACAGGTCTTGCCTCTAGCCAAGAAGAAGCAGGAAAGAAGCCAGGTGTCGAGCACCCGGCCTCCCACCCCCACCCCGTGCCAGTGGAGATGGGACCCAGGTGTTCTGGCTTCTGCCCCTTCCCACCCTCTCTTCTAACGGGGAACCCAGGCCTCCGGGCTCCCACCCCTGTCCTAGCCGCCCTCCCACTCGAGCAGGGAGAGGACCCAGACATCTGGGCTCAGAGTACCAGGAGTGCTACCCCCAGGGCCACCAGCAGGGGGGAGGTGGGGGGATCCTACTGGGTGGGGGCAGATCAGGGGGGCCGGGGCCAAGGCTGGAGCAGGAATCGAAGAGGGGGGCAGCAACACCCAGAACAGCTGCTGCAGCCGTGGCTAAACCGGTGCCCCCAAGGCTGTGGCCGTGGGCT